GATCGTTTGCGTTATTAATTCGACGTTAATATCTGAATTTATACCTGGTTTTTGTTGATCGGTAGCGATAACAATTTTATTATTATAGCCTAACACTTGACCGATCTTAAGTTCCATATTACTCGGGGACATGTATAGTCCCGGCGCATAAACGAAGTCCACTTTTGATTGAGCGTACTGTAATGCATCTTGAAAACGCTTTATAGACGATGGTATGTCAACTGGTGAATTAATGGCGTCCTCCACGTTTGAGACAAACTGTTTTTGAGCATCGAACGCCGTCCCAGTACCGATAATGGACGTTCGTGTTTGCGATTGTGCTCCGAGAATTGCCCACACATAAGTTCTTATCGATTCATTAACTCTTTCAAATCCTGGGTTAGTAAAATTATTTTCCGTTTTATCATTAAGAAATTCATTCCAAGCATCTGTTGTATCGTTTGGATGCACAAACTTTGTTATAAGATAAGGAATGCCACTCTCAAAGTTCATACGATCTGCTCTAAACTGTTTACTCGAGAGAGCAAAGCCTGAAGGGATCACACCCGCTTTAATTAAATAATCGCTTTTATCTTTAATAGTTCTTTGTCCATTGTACGGAATACCTAGACCATGGCTAGGTCCACTAATGCGCCAATCTTTACTCGTAGAAACATTAAATTCATTACAAATACGTTCGAAGGCCCTCTTATTATAATGATTATTTGCATGATTCCATGCTGGATCCATCGGTAATGGAGCACTAATTTCTTTAAGTATACGTCTAATCTGATAGTACACGTGAAATAATATAACAGACTTATATAGTTTAAATCCTGGGGTATTAACATATACACCACATCCCGTTGTGGCACACCATACGGCAAAGTTTAACTGATTCTGCCAAAATTGCATCGGATGGTTAAACCAATCGTCAATCATTTTATCGTTAGTTGCCGTGAAACTGTATTTTTCAAAGATATCGTGGAATTTAACGGTAAACTCAGCACCGGAGGCAGTTACTATAATCGATTGATTAGTAATGTGAGTCGATTTCATATTTAAGTTATGATATAGTATCATTGTATATTTAATATGTATGTTACACTACCTGGAATAACAAATGGTCAGTCTATTGAACTGCTTCGTACTATCGATAACTCGGATGGACAACTCGAAGTAGCTCTATGCGATGTATTACCCGCGGTGGACCAATATAAGTGCTGCGAGAGATAATAATGAGATATTTATAGCAGGTGTACACAGGGTTGTTAAAAAAACCATTTATATACCTGATGGGTATTACAGCATAAGCTCACTCAATGATAACATTTCTAAGCCTAATGGAATTAGTATCACACAAAATGAGTGGAATGGGAAAGTCAAAATATACACTGGAGAAACAGGTATACTTATTAGTGCGCACTTAGCAGTTATACTTGGATTTGTATGGGCAATATACTTACCACGCAACAAAACAGTTGATGTAGAGAACGTACCTGATTTAGTTCCCTATAAAGAGTTGTGTATCCATCTTGATCAAATAAGCATGACAGATAATATTCAACTAGAAAATCCTTCAACTCTACTCAGATCTGTTCCAGTCAAAAATGAAAAATATAATAGCGGTAGAACGGAATCTTTCTCGTCATTACAATATAAAAAATTGAAGCGTGGTATTATTTCAGACCTCAAAATTTCTGTATTAGATGTAAAACACCAACCTGTACATATAGGATACTTAAGTGTAACACTCCATATTAAAAATAATGGTTGATGCCATATTTAAGTTATGATATAGTATCATTGTATATTTGATATGTATGTTACACTCCTGGGAATAACAAATGGTCAGTCTATTCAACTGCTTCGTACTATCGATAACTCGGATGGACAACTCGAAGTCACACTATGCGATGTAACGTATTACCCACTGTGGACCAATATAAGTGCTGCGAAAATTAATAATAGGATACATATAGTAGATGAAGATGCTCCTGACAAATACATTACTATACCTGATGGGTATTACAGCGTATGCGTATGAAATTTTTAAGCCTAATGGAATTAGTCTCTCACAAAATGAATCGAATGGGATGCTGAAAATCGACACTGGAGAAAATGGTGTAATTCTTATCCCATACTTAGGAATTACACTTGGATTTGAGCTTAAAATTATAAGTTCTAACGAAACACAACATGGAAATACATTGCCCGATTTAGTTCCCTATAAAGAGTTGTGCATCCATCTTGATCAAATAAGCACGACAGATAATATTCAACAAGAAAGTCCTTCAACTTTGCTAAGAAGTGTTCCAGTGAAAAATGAAAAATACAATAGCGGTAGAACGGAATCTTTCTCATCATTACAATATAAAAAATTGAAGCGTGGTATTATTTCAGACCTCAAAATTTCTGTATTAGATGTAAAACATCAACCTGTACATATAGGATACTTAAGCGTAACACTCCATATTAAAAATAATGGTTGATGCATCAGGCCCTGGAACAGTAAGACAATGTAATACAATTGCGCTTTCCGATCTCGGAGACACAGAAGGATTCGGTAAACCCGGCACCGATGGTAAGTTATACGCTTTACACTTACACGATAATGTATACAATCGGAAAGAAGTCACATTCACGGGTAATCTAGGAGATTTAAGCGATGTCGATGTTAGTAGACTCCTTAAAAACACTTCGTACAATATTACTCGCAACGACGATAATAAATGGACTATGATTGAAGCAAACATCGAGTGGCTACTGAATATCGTCATTACCCCACCTTATGTGATGATGGGTAAGGGACATAATTTAACTAAGATAATAAATAGTGGCATCGTACTCGCGGCTTATATCCCGTCAAAACGAAAAAGTGTGTTGGTCACTCCCCTGCCAGAAAACCCAGGTCATATGATATATAGTCGTCCGGCCTTAAAAAACATTAGTTTAAATTTGGTTACTGAATTCGAAGATATTAAAGTTAACTTGAGTGCAATACCTAATCTTTCTACGCTTATTATTGAAGTCTTGTTCGGAGATGTACCGGTAGATGCCTTCGAAATATTACCAGGTCTATCGATTAAATGGTTCAAGAAACACGAGCGTCAACGTTGCAGTATTATTCATATCGGAGCATCACCCGTTGCAACCCTCGAGGGGGTCCAAATTATTAAAAGTGGTAGTATTTCTCTTTCTAAGATATTCTTGCCGTATAATATACATTTAATAAGGTTGATGTATAGTCTCAAAACATTTAAGCAAGACCAATTAAAGACTATTATATGATCGTTATATACACTATGAGTTTATATCCGGCGCTCAATGAAGCATTTGAAAAGATGGAAACTGTTGATGGATTTCGATTACATCAAATAAACGACATAAAACATCGAATAGAGAAGGATAGGGAGTTGAGACTTGGATTGTATAAAAAGTATCGCAGAGCCGTGAATGCTCTGGACGGAGTTCACACCGCTCTTGTAGTATCTGGCATGGGACTCGGTGTAGCGGGTATCGGTTTACTATCAACTATAATCGCCGCGCCTATCGTGCTCGGCATGGAAATAACCGCTGGAGTCTCGGGACTGGCAGGAATAGCGATAAAATTCATTTCTCGTAGGTTGCAAAAGAAAGCATTAAAACACGATAGTATTCGGATACTCGCCGAAGCAAAGTTGAACAGCATTGAGGATCATATTTCGACAGCAATGGCCGATTGTAAGATATCCGAGGATGAGTTTCGTTTAGTGCTGTCGGAGCTTAACAAATACAATAAAATGAAGCAGGAGATTCGATCAAAATCTCGTAAGACCAGTGGTATTAGCGAAGACGAGAAAAAAAAGTTCATAGAAGAGGGGAGGCAACAAGCTCGTCAATTATTCCGTGTCAAAACCAAAGAACTGGTTGGAGATTAAAAATAGATTGCTTACTATCGTGTGATTACATTTAGACAAATGCTAACATAAATATATAATAATGGAGAAAGCTATTCAATGGAAAGAATTACCACAAGGTTTTTATTATATCAGTGATGTCAAACCAACCAAATACGGTTATCAATTGTTTCTTATCAATTTACAAAAAGAGTGTAGTTATATAGTCTGGTCTCCTAGTAAAATGAACGAAGAACTTAATAAAAATGTTGAATATCGCTTTATCGATAAAAATAATGAAGAATATTTTTATTACCATTTAGGCTCATCTAAAGCAATGATTGGCCCCAGGTATTGGTAGTGGTCCAGAACCCCTATTACCTATAAAAATTTATATCATAGACTCCAGGTGGAGTCAATTTAGCTGAATCTCATGACTATCGTTAAATCGCATCATCATTTACGCATAAAAAATTCCTCCTGTAGTAGCAGTATAGGTATACAAATCCGGCTCCAGTGGAGTTGCGGCAGAACCCCCATTACCTATACTACTACAGTGAACTCAAAATACAATAATTTCTTATTCTTCAAAATGTCAACTTGCTGGGAAGAACCCCACTCCAATTACCAGCTGTGTTAGGTAATATTATGTAATGCTGGCCACCTGGTATATGTTCTCTGGCCTGGTGAGGTGGGCTCCTCCCCTTACTTGTCATCTTAGGAGTAATTAGCCAATGATTAGATGTTTTGTACCAGACCATCACTGTTGTATTGCTCTAGGAATGAGACAGTTGTCTCATTATGCTTCAGTTAAACGAATAGGCGACAACGGGAGTAGTGCACTTTACTGGGCGCACTTTTTCAGATCCAATTAGCGCAGATGGGGCTCGAACGCGCTTCGCCGGCTCACCGGCTCTGCTAATTAATGCGTTTATTAGCCGACGCTCTACCACTGGACCACAGGTGCTATCACATGTAATCAGTGCTCGTCTAACAGGTCATTAGAATCCCCATTGACATGCATGCGTAATTCAGTAAACAATCTCCCATTCATCTTTTCTTGAAACCACACCCGCAATTGTTTATGTCAACATGACCGACCAATGGGATTAACTGGATTAACGCTTGAAAAGGTAAGAATTTATGGCTAACCCTTACCCAAAGCCAGCTGACCCTAATGACCGTAAAGGGGTTTTGGATCGTAAAGACGTGTAAGTTTCCCTAAGACCGAAAACGGGTGTTGGATCGTAAAGACGTGTAAGTTTCCCTAAGACCGAAAAACGGGTGTTTGATCGTAAAGATGTGTAAGTTTCCCTAAGACCGAGAACGGGTGTTTGATTGTAAAGATGCGTAAGTTTCCCTAAGACCGAAAACGGGTGTTGGATCGTGAAGCGAGAGTCACCAGAGCGTGAGGCACGGTAACGGTATAACGAGACAGCGGTGGCACTATAGCGCGGTTATTGAGCGGATAGTAGAGCTCGGGCTGTGCCCGGTAAACTGCATTGTTGCCGCGACAGTTACTACACTTCATTGATTTCATTGGAATCATTAGGATTTTGTTCAGTCAATCTGTGTGTACTGACTTGTACTGCTAGGTTGAGGAAACTTATCAAGGACTTTGGCAGTAAAGGAATTCCTTCAGTAGATGATTCTCTTTGGACGGGTCTTTTGGATCTGGTATTGCTGGAACTAAGGGTCAGTTGAAAATGGAATGTTCATTACCTTGGATAAGCAGTATTATGTTTGAATGTATGGTAATTAAACACAGCATGTTTTTTAGGTTCAGTAAATGATTTTGATTGATGAAATTAGTCTAACTTATCAACAGTACTGACTTTGTGCCTGGTAGATATAATTTGGTGACAATTTCAGACAGATTATAGGTACATGATTTAATGAATTACACAGGTTTTGATTCTGTTTCTTGAGATTATAATAACAAAACTATAGTTTTCTTTCACCTTGGTAAGGATATCTAGAAATGATTCAGTATTATATATTGGCATAATCATAATTAGTAATAAATCACACACTGTCTCCTTGGTTTTCGGTTGAAAGTGATTGTAGACAAGGTCAGGATATTTCTCCCTCTATCTTCCTACGCTCTTGAAATTCTGGCTGGGCTTGTTAAGAACAATATGTTAATGTCAAGGATATTTTAGTTAAAAGATGAAAAATATTTAACACAATATGATGATAATACAGAGTTCCTTTTGACAGGTGAGAAAAATCTGTTGAAGCTACAGTGGGTATTTCATAAGTCCCAAGTAATATTGATAGGCCCAAAGAAGAATAACTCAGTTTGGCATTTGCATAATAAAATAATTGAATGAAACCCAGAAGATCTCAGGCTGCCTAGTGTTATATTTTCAACAGACTTGAAATGAACAGAACTTTAACCTCTCTTGGTTCAATTGCCATTATTGAGGCCTTACTTATTTTCAAATTGAATTTACTGGTATTGTTTATTACTGCCAAATCATTATGGGAATTTTATTAAGGAGTTAAATAAAATGTTATTTAAGTTTCTTTGGAATGGAAAGTCCAATAAGATTAAAGAGCTAATGTAAAGGAGAAGCTTTGGTATTATTGATTTCTTTACACCAGTCAATTCTCTAAAACTGAGAAAGTTATTGGACATTACAAATGAGTCAAGATGAAAAATGCTCTTTTATGCTTCTTTCCCTTGCTGTCAACATTTGTCTGTATTTGGTGTAGGCCAATTCAAGATCTAAATTCCAAAATACTTTTGAACTTCTTGTCAACTTTCCTTTATATTATTGGTTTTCAAAAGTGATCAATAGCATGAAAGACCAACATCTTTTGCCCAATAAGATGATAACGGAAATGTCAGTGTCAGGAAATTACTGTCACAATATTTAGGCAGACCAGCGCCGACTCCAAAGGTAAACCATCTCTGAACCACCTTGAGAGGTGGTAACTTATGAGACAAGCGAGACAAGCGCTAATGTGAAATGGTAACTGTCACAAAGTTACTTTAGAAACGGTCTAGAGACGGTTAAATCACCTAATGTGAAAGGAGTATAAGTCAGAGGAATGCTTGTTGGCTGAGCATGAATGGGATAAGTTATGTGGAAAGGGTCGTTGTAAGGATGGGTACCATAGGAGATAAGCCCGAGTAAGGCCCTGTATACCGGACTGTACCCCGACAATGCAGGAAGTCACCCAAGTTTACCGTACAGTACCCAAGTGTTGCATACCATACCTAAGTCAGCTTAGGGGGATGAAAAGTATTTGGTTTCATAATAAACTTTCATTTCATCATAGTAAATCATAAAGACTGGGTGGGAGGAGGAGGGAGTCAACTGGATGCATTTAAGATGAAATCAGGGGGTAATATGTGAAAACAAAAACAACAGGTTAATTTCGCACCCTGTGTCAACTAACTCTATTTTGTTTATTATATAAGATAAATATTTAAGAAGAGTACCTTAATATTCCTTTTCTGTCAAGGATAAAACTGAAACATGAAGCATATACAGATTTCTGGCAGTTACTGTTGTGCTAACTCAATGAAAATGTTCATATTTCCAAAATATGAGACTTGATCTTGTATATATTTATCTTATTTCTTTGGTTTGAAGAAGAACACATATGCTGAGATGTATTTGAGGTATTGTTGCTGCTGGTTAATTTTTTTAAATAAATGTAATGTTTAAAAGAATTCTTTAGATTTTAAACAGTATCAATGTTATCTTTGAGTTTATTATTGAAAGAAATGTTGTGTACAGAAAACATGACCAAACCAAACAAGTATTACAAAAAATGGATTCTGTAGAATTAGACAGTAAATTTTGGTATTCCATGACTGGTGTCTAAATGTATTACATCTAGCAAGTTATTTTAACAATTTAAATTACATGATAAGTAGTGATAAAATTTTAAAATATTTGTTTATTAAGTTTGTAGAATGAATTTGCAATAGTTGCTTTTAACTAAATTTGAAATAAGTGTTCAATCTCCCTTCTTTGTCTATTGTACTCATGTTGTTATTGTAGTTATATGATGTATCATTTGTAACCAAATATCTTAAAAATCCATTAATTATTTCTTCATTGTTAACAGTCAGAGATCGGATTGTGGAGGCTCCCCAAATTGGGAGCCTCCTGGTCCACACTCCCAGTTCAAATCTTTGCCTGTAAAGCCCAATCTTTGTGATTTCTGCAGGTATTTACAGAAACATGATGGACAACCAAGCAAATGGCATCTGGTTGCATTGTAAACATAAAATTATGCCAATTATGTGACTAGATTAGTCTTTTGAGGAGAAAATGTGGTACAAAATTAGCCTAAAAAGGCCAAAATTGGCCAGCTTCAAAGACAATTTTCAAGTAACTAAGCATTCTCTTATATCAAAGTTCAACCATTTTTCTCTCTGTTTCAATGGTTTTTATCATGGTTCCAAACTCAGTCTTGGTGTGGGAATGATTAAAAGAAATTCTACTTTGGGAGCGTCCACACTGCCACTTTCACCACTGATTGTCACTTCAATACGGATTAATCATGTTAATACTAAAATTACTTTAATTTACTATTCAGGTTCCCTTCAAGTCACAGCTGATTTCTTTGAAAACAAGGTGAGATATTACCATGATTACTACACATGTATCTGCAGAAACCATAGTACATCTAGCTGCGGAAACCATAGTACATCTAGCTGCAAAAAACATAGTACATCTAGCTGCAGAAACCGTAGTACATCTAGCTACGGAAACCATAGTACATCTAGCTGCAAAAAACATAGTACATCTAGCTGCAAAAAACATAGTACATCTAGCTGCGGAAACCGTAGTACATCTAGCTACGGAAACCATAGTACATCTAGCTGCGGAAACCATAGTACATCTAGCTGCGGAAACCGTATTACATCTAGCTGCGGAAACCGTATTACATCTAGCTGCGGAAACCATAGTACAACTAACTGCGGAAAACCGTAGTACATCTAGCTGCGGAAACCGTAGTACATCTAGCTGTGGAAACCATAGTACATCTAGCTGTGGAAACCATAGTACATCTAGCTGTGGAAACCATAGTACATCTAGCTGTGGAAACCATAGTACATCTAGCTGTGGAAACCATAGTACATCTAGCTGCGGAAACCGTAGTACATCTAGCTGTGGAAACCATAGTACATCTAGCTGTGGAAACCATAGTACTTCTAGCTGCGGAAACCGTAGTACATCTAGCTGTGGAAACCGTAGTACATCTAGCTGTGGAAACCATAGTACATCTAGCTGTGGAAACCATAGTACAACTAACTGCGGAAACCGTAGAACATCTAGCTGCGGAATCCGTATACCAGCTGCACATATTGGGGTAGTAATTATAGGGTGCAACATCACAGATTTATGGTTTCTGCAGCCAGACTACATCTTATGCTTAAACTTAATTATACATATCTCTGACATTAATTATGTTTGATTTGTCATAACACTATCCAGAATTCCCAACTACACTCAGCTGCCAGCTAGACTTTCTTAATGAGTTCAACTCAGATCCCACTGTTTCCTACCCTGCAGTACCTTGTCTTTGCTATCATGGACAGGCTGAGGGAATAGTTGTTGTTTTAGTTTTAGGACTTTATAAATTTTGATTTTTTTTAGTTTCCATGGCAACAAGTTGGACTTAGCATTAATATGAGGGTGGGGTTGGTTCGTGGAGTGTAACTGGAAAAAAGTTCAATACTTTCTAACAAAACTTAGCATGTCTACCAGGCACATTCTGAAATGGTGCCTTTTAATATTTAGAAATTTTTGAATGTTTTATTTTTTTAAGATTTTTATGGCAACAAGTTGGACGTAGGTTCTATGAGGGTAGGGTTCATTTCCAGAAAATAACTGCTAAACCATTTAGTATTTTGAATCAAACACATGCTGAACTGGTGCCTTTTGCTATTCAACAATTTTAGAACGTTTTATTTTAAGGTTTTCGTGGCAGCTCTTTGAACTTGGGCTTAAAGAAATGTTGGGTTAGTTTACCTGGTTTCGGACCATTACATGTTAAGGTTGGCAGGGAATATAGATGACTTTGTCGACTATATGCTTGTTGAAATTGAAACGGTTAAAGCGGAAACTGTCTAATGAATTGACTGTTTGACTTTCTTCACAGAAACCAGAAGTTTGCAGTTACATTAAGAGCCTTTTACAGGGTAAGTTCAGGTAATATACTCTATAAAGTACATGGCCATGGAGAATGATCTGAAGTCCGAAACATGCACATCACATCTGGCCAAAATAAACCAATTCAATGTATGTATCCTTTCCTTTTATATAACACTGTTGTTGATATTCCTGTATATCACATTGAAAGTTAACAGTCACATATACACCAACATCACACAACAGTCAATATAAAATGAATGTGGCATTCTTGAGGCACTTTTGTCTTTACAGTGGGGACAAGGACGTGGTGAGAGACACAACTGGTTTGTTACCAAGTATCCCTACCATGAAGTCAAGGCTGGATTTGGGTCAGATTTTGTGTCTGCTGAAGTAAGAAAATGAATTCATATGTACAGCTAAATTTCATTAAAGTATGAGAATGCCAATGTTCACAATTAAGTCCTAAGTCCACAATTTAGTAGAGAAAATTTCCAAAATTTCATTGTTGAAAAAGTTTCAATCCCATGACTGTAACAATTCTTATGTTGTGATAGTAATCATCATCTTATGCAATAAACACAATGTACATGTTCTTTTGTTTCTGACATACACTTTTCTGCATATAGGTAAAATATAAGTGTTCATGAAGATTAAAGTAAAATGTTTGGGGGAAAAAATGGCAAATAGTTGATGATATCAGTTGCTCAGTGAATTGTACTTTATACATGGCAAAACAAATTTCAGATGTATGGGCACATACTTCAGTGGCTGGGGCAATCCTTGACACGCCGTCTAGTGAGAGATAAACGGTAAGAATAATGGTGAATAGTGTAGATTCTTTTCTAAAGTTCCCAATGGCACAAATTTAAAATCAGTGTAAATTCACAGTTTTATGCATGTTGTTTTGAGCATATATTTACCAGTGTTTACCAAATTGAATGAGAACAGAGCAGTAGTTAAGTGTGATTAGGAAAAGTTTACATCTAAAGCATATTCACAGAAGAAGCTTATCATTTGATTAGACATACAGATGAAATTGATACATTGAAAATTGCTCATGGTCTAAATTTCACATAATGGCACTGACCACCTTTGATTCCTTTTCAGTCGCCCTTACACTAAGTCAGTGACTCAGATCTTTACTGTGCCGGATGTTGATGCGAATCTCCAATGGAGTACACACAGTAATCACAGAAAATACAATTTATTATTCTATTTCTATCGGTGAAATACTGCATTTATCGGTTAAAATAAAACCTGCATCTACACTGAGTTAGATATCAAAATCAAAAAGTAAACAATGTGATGACTTAATGTGTATCACCAGGCAACAAGACGACTGACACAGTGAATGTACTGAATTTGCGAGTCATCGGTCCGGTTTTCATAAAATTCAGCAATAAGGAAGAATAGAATAAATAGAACATTTGACTTTTCCTGTCGAATACCGTGTTTATGTCATCTCGTGAAGTTGAAAAGTTTAATTTTTACACTTGTGGCTACGCCACTCATGAAAATACAAACTAGTCAACTTCACTCGACGAGATAAACACTGTATTCGACAGGAAAAGTCAAATATCCTCTATACGTGTTTGTCTCCTTCAGTTAGGAAAACAAACATGTCTGTTACATTTCATTATTGACAATTTTGGGTTGTTTTATCTGAAGCAGACATGTTCCAGAAATATAATAGTATGTATTATGTGTACAGGTTTGCTTGCTTGATTTCTGGTACATAGTTATAGGTACAATGTTGTTAGATACATTACTATTAAACACTCACTGGAATGAATGCTAAACAGAAAAGTACCAATTTGGTGAAAGGGAACAGAAATTCAGTCATATTTTGTTAGAATATATCCCCCATTGGAAAAAACATTTAGTATTGTGAAAATGGAGACACCAAAGAATGAGATAATAGTCTTGTAAAGTAATAATCAATTACAATGTACCTAGTGAAGCTACTGAAAATAAATATATTCATTGTAATTGTAAAAGCTAATTCTTGGAATTTTTGGCAAGTAAATGATTTCCAATTATTCCAGTTACAACTTACATTTATGAAACTGGAACTGGAGATATTTATTTTATTCTTAAAATTGAGTCTGGTTATGAATATGCTCTAATTTATTACAGGGCTGCATGGCACTGCATTCTGTATGTGGCCATTAAGGAAGTAATCATATTCCTTGCTGAGAAACTGACAGGGAGAACCTACTCTTCAATCAACCCAGAGTGTCAAAGGACAGAATTGCATTCAAAAGAGCTTTAATTGCATAATTATGATGCTCCTTTGAAAGGGTTACTGTTTTAATGAATGCAGCCAACTCATTGATGCCTTGATGTGGTTTGGTTGTTCTCTGTACCTTTCTTTCATTCACATATGGACCCGTGAAGATTCCAGGGTAGAATAAGTCTTCAGCAACCCATACTTGCCGTAAAAGGCGAATATGCTTGTCGTAAAAGGCGACTAACAGGATCAGGTGGTCAGGCTCGCTGACTTGGTTGATACATGTCATCTATCCCCAATGCGTAGATCGATGCTCATGATGTCAATCACTGGATTGTGTGGTCCAGACTTGATTATTTTACAGACCGCCATCATATAGCTGGAATATTGCTGAGTGTGGCGTTAAACAACAAACAAACAAATCATTCACATATCATGCATATGTGTATAGAAAATGCCTCAGTCTCCTCCCATTGATGTATATTTCAGTTGAATATAGTAAAAACCCTGTTAGTGCAGATCATTGTGTGTGTAAAACTTATCCATGTTTATGAATTTCCAAACTTTTTGATGTAGCATGTTTTGGTGAATCAATAATCGAAAAAAGAATAGGGGTATACTATAGAAACAGATCTTAACGGTTCTCCTTGTAACTAACCTGATCATAAAGAAAAGGCATGTGTATCATTAAAGCAGTAAACTTGAGTAAACTCTGGATTTATTCAAAGTCTGTCTGTTGACATTGAAACAATTTGAACTTGGATTTAGATGGAGTGGGATGTTGTTCAAGATTAAAATTTAAGAATTATGAGACATGTTTTCGTGAAACATGCAGAATGATTAATCAGATAGTGGACAATTGTCTTTTGCTACTGAACAATGTTTTAAAGTTTCAAGTTGTTACTTTTTCTGGAATAAAGTTGGAGTTACATTCAGTTGAGTTGAATTTTTTTAAAAGAAGAAAGAATATTGATGAAATTATCATGGAACTGTTCTGGGTGAACAATACCTTCCAAACAGCATGCTGGTTTTTTGGGGGGGAATTAGTCAGAAAAGAGCCGGAGTCACAGGAGACTAATCACAATTTTATTTACAAGAACAATTAACAATTAAGAATTTACAATATACTTAGATAATAACTGAGGGTGCCACAGAGAGTCGGTACAACACTCTGGGCTGTGGGAGAGAGGTCTGCTTGGTAAGAGAGTCACACCCCTTCTCCGCTTACTTACTTACTTACTTTGGAGATTTAACGTGCGCTTTCCGACTGATGCGTATTTCGCACACGGGCCCGGCCAGGCCATTTAATGTGTTTCCGAAAGGGGCGAAAGTGGTGTGTGCAACCCAAGAGGGGGCTTTAGGGGTTGCTTATATAGAATTTGGGAATTTTGAGATTTGGAATAGATGCCGATGGGGTAGGGGAGGAGAACTAAGGGAGCTGGGTATGGTGGATTTTTGTGTGTTTATGTAATTTTGATTTGGTGGATTATAGAGTTTTTAGATGAGTGCGTGTTCTGGGGTTTCTAGTTGTTTGCAGTGCGGGCAGTTACCTGTAGTATGTTTTTTTATTTTTTTTAGGTGGTTATTTAGGTTGGTGTGTCCTGTTTGGAGTTTAGTGATTACTCTGTCGATTTTTTTTGATGGATGGTGAATTTTTGGTTTGGTTAGTGGTTTGCTGAGCACTTTTTTGATTTGGCTATTTGAGTTTAGATATAGGTTATGCCATTTTTTTGTGATTTTTTGCTTATTTACACTTTTAATTTCTGATTTTGAGATGGGTAAGTTTAAGCTTATTTCTGGGATTTTGAGGGATAGTTTAGCTGCCTTATCGGCGTTTTCATTACCGTATATTCCTACGTGGGCGGGTATCCACAAGAAAGTTATTTGTTTGCCTGCGTTAGTTAGGTCGTTGGAGCTTTTAAGTATTAGATTTATTAATTTAGGTCGGTTTTTGGTATTTTTGTTTTGGAGGGCTTGCAGTCCACTTAGGGAGTCGGTAAGTATTAGGATTTTATTGTGGTTTTTGGATTCTTGACTATGGAGGGCTGAGGCCATGCCCATTAGTTCTGCCGTGAATATTGATTGGTTGTTTGGGAGTCGGAAGGATTGTGTAGTTTTAGTTGGTTGTGTGGTATGGACTCCGAAACCTGTGTGTTTGGAGGTCGGATCTGAAGATCCGTCCGTGTAAATGTGACACCAATTTGGCCAATTTTCGTGTATGTATGCTAGTGTAGTGGTTTTAGCTATGTTTGGGTCGGTTTGTTTATTTATTTGGCTAGCTAGTGTTGTGTCTATTTTGGGTATTTTAAGTTTAGGGGTGAAGATATTTGATTGTTTGCAGTTTTGTTTAAGATTTTTAATTTTGTGTTCATTTAGGTAGTTTGTTATTCTTTGGGATATTGGGGTAAGTAAGGGGTGTTTACGAGCTAGAGCTTGGTTTTTGGGGCTGATATTCTGGTTTATTAGGTTTTGGATCAGAGGGTTTGATTGGGATGCGGCCCAGAAATTTAAGCTTAGCTGTTCCCTGCGTAGACTTAGTGGCATTTCTCCTGTTAAGGCCTGAAGTGAAGTGTAGGAGGTGCCATGTTGGGTGCGTGTAATTAGTTTGAGAGCCTGATATTGTATTGAGTCAAGTTTTTTAGATAGAGAGTTGTTTAGGGTGTTGTATATGGCGCAGCCGTAGTCTAGTTTTGATCTAATTAGTGATATGTAGAGTGAGAGGAGGGTATCTTTGGATGCTCCCCAGTTTGAGCCAGTGAGGCATCTTAGGGTGTTTAGGTCTTTACTGCATTTAGTTGTTAGGTTTTGGATGTGAGCATCCCAGGTGAGATGTTCATCGAAAATAAGTCCTAAGAATTTGGTTTGTTTTTGAAATTTGATTGTTTGGTTGTTTAGCTGGAGGATTGGGGAGGCGGGTTTCTTGTTTTTATTTTTGAATACTATTCCTGTTGTTTTTTCTGAGTTAAGGGAGAAGCCCCATGTGTCAGCCCATTGTTGTATTTTATTAAGAGATTTTTGGAGTAAATTTTGGGCCATATTAATACTTTTTGTGCGGATCCAGATGGCTCCATCATCCGCGAATTTGGATGTGTTTACTTTAGGGGATAGGCCCTCGAAGAGATCGTTTATCATTATATTAAAGAGTGTGGGGCTGAGGATACTGCCCTGGGGAGTGCCATTTTCTAGGGGACACTGGTCCGATAGAGTATGGTCTATCCCCACTGTTATTTTACGTTTGTTTAGAAAGTCCTGAATGTAGTTTATTATTTGTCCTTTTAGTCCTATTTTTTTAAGTTTTTGTATTAGCCCGTTGTGCCAAACCATGTCGAATGCTTTGGAGAAATCCAGAAAGATGCCTGTTGTGTATTGTTTGACTTGGTTGATACATGTCATCTATCCCCAATGCGTAGATCGATGCTCATGATGTCAATCACTGGATTGTGTGGTCCAGACTTGATTATTTTACAGACCGCCATCATATAGCTGGAATATTGCTGAGTGTGGCGTTAAACAACAAACAAACAAATCATTCACATATAAACTTAGCTACAGTATGTATTTAACAAACATTTGAACAATAAAAAGGAATAGGATTGGTTGATACACGATTGGTTGTGCCCTATGCTAAATGGATGGCTAGACAGAGAGGAATACTTACTCCTGTTAATCCTGTTGGACTGGCACTAATCTTGTTGACATATTTACTGGATGCTTTGGAAAGAGGTTATGGTGTCACTATAGACGAGGTTGTGTTGGGGCTAATCCTTAATGCACTATAAACAAGCTTGTATGGGGGCTAATCCTTAATGTACTGTAGACGAGCTTGTATGGGGGCTAATCCTTAATGAGTCTTAATTGAAGTAATGTTATTATAATATACCCCGGTAGGTGATGACAGATATACTTAAATAAAATAGTTCCAGGTACTGTACACAACCCTCCGCGCCTACCAAGCTCGGTTCGCTCACCAGCTTAAACTGCACGGTTGTCAATCACCCAGGCCCCTGGGACTGACAAATATGAACTTGAAATGGAGATGGCGGACTTATGTCCAGAAATTACAATTGTTGAGAGTTCGCCCAACTCTCAAGAGAACCAGCCCAGTTCTCGAAAGGGTCAGCCCAACCCAAATGAAGGGAATCCCTTCACTCTGGTCACGAGAAAAACTGCCAAAAAAACAGCCAACTTGACTTATAGTCAAGCCGCGCTAAATGTCCCTGACCGTTTTCAGGACAGATTCACGTTCTCAGGAACTAAAAACAAAGAAAATATTGATTATAGTGCCCTATGGGCTCAAGGCATGCTTAAACGCAAACAGCCTCAATCTAGCCCACCTAAGGCTAAAATGGTACAGAAACGACAAAAAATGGTCTCATCAGAATCAAAGACACAACAAAATAGAAGACCACAAACCAAATGGGAAAAAGTAGTCTTTAGCGCAGACTTCTCCCAAGATCTTAATAAGATCCTAACAGCTCAAGATATTGCCAAAGAGCTGAAGCACAAAAATATTATTCGAATAAATAAGTGTGGAAGAGGGTATGTTGTGGTCGGGGACAACCTCACAGAGTCAATTGATATGCCCAAAAGCATAAACGGGATCAAACTAAAATGGGATACCCCAAAGTGGCTTAGCAATGTCAGATGTGCGGTACATCTAGACAAAAAAATTAATGACAACGAGCTTTATCAAATTGTCTGTCAAGCCCAAAAGAAAGTCACTCAACCTACAATCCTGTCGGCATTCAGGATCAAATCAATGGGCACAAACAACACACAAGTAGTAATACTCACATTACTTGGACAGTCAGTCCCCGGCCACCTTAATCTAGGTGGCAAGGACATAGAAACCATGCCATACAGGAAAAGGCCAACCCAGTGCACAAATTGTATGCTCTATGGACATACAAAAACATCATGTAACCAGCCACCCAAGTGCAAAAACTGTCCCCGAGTTTCTTGCAAAGAAAACTGCAACACATGGTGCACAAACTGCAGGAAAGAGGGTCACTCATCCTTGGCGCCGAAATGTCCAATGCTTGCTTACTTACTTACTTACTTACTTTGGAGATTTAACGTGCGCTTTCCGACTGATGCGTATTTCGCACACGGGCCCGGCCAGGCCATTTAATGTGTTTCCGAAAGGGGCGAAGGTGGTCTGTGCAACCCAAGAGGGGGGTTTTAGGGGTTGCTTATATAGAATTTGGGAATTTTGAGATTTGGAATAGATGCCGATGGGATTGGGGAGGAGAACTAAGGGAGCTGGGTATGGTGGA